AGACACCTTCTCCAGCATCTTCCCAGGCTGCTAAAGTACAAACTGTTCACAGGGAAATCATCTTTGTCTTCACTGGTTACCATTTAGTCACCATTTAGCCTGTTGTCTTCATCATCCTATGGGACAGGCACAAAATTATGACAGCTCTTCTCAGGTTCCACTGCCAATTTCCATTGATTGCACTGGCCCTCATGGCCTCATCTGTGTCTTTTTTCCTGCTGACACCAATTGAAATTTTCCTGGATCCATTCAGCCAAAAGTATTTTCTTCCTACCCTGAACTCCTGAAGATCTTATTCCAAACCTTTCTTATGGAACATGTTGATTAATTAATCAAACAGTATTTGTTGAGCATATACTACACATCAGGCATATACCTAGGCACTTTGCACACATTTTCACTCTCTCCAAGTAGCCCTATAAGACTTGGGTTTTGTTTTGTTGTTTTTTGTTTGTTTGTTTTTGTTTTTTGAGATAAGATCTTGCTGTGTCATCCAGGCTGGCATGCAGTGGAGAATCACAACTCACTGCAGCCTTGATCTCCTGGGTTCAAGTGATCCTCCCACCTCAGCCACCAAATAGCTGAAACCAAAGACACAAACCAATAGGCCCAGCTAATTTTTTCATTTTTTGTAGAGATAGTGTTGAACTCCTGGACTCAAGCAATCCTCCTCCCTAAGCCTCCCAAAGTACTGGGATTACAGGTGCGAGCCACAATGACCAGCCTGGAAAACTTTTAAAATGTCACTGAATATTGATGCCAGGGCCCTACCACCCGAGATCCAGATTTAACAGCTCTCGGGTACAGCCTAGACATGGGGACTTTTCAAGACTCCGTGAGTGATTCCAATGTGTAGCCATGGTTGAGAGCCACTGGTGTAACTCCAATCCCATTTGCCAGATATTTTCGGATAGTTAGTATTACCTCTGAAGCTTTAAAACACAAACAAAGGCTGGACCCTAGCCTAGTCCCATCAAATTAGAATCTCTGGGGGACTGCGTCTGGGAATTCACATATTAACAAAGCTTCACAAGTGACTCTGTATTATCAGGATCAAAAACCACTTTCTTGGTCAGATACTGAATCATCTCCCTCTCATGGTCATATTAGAAATAATTATAGATGTCTTTCCCCACCTCAGGGGCTGTAAACTCTTTGAGGACAGGTTTACATTTGATTCACCTCGATCAGCTTCCTGATACCTAGCAAGGTCCCTCATACATTATGCATTTTAGAAACTAAAGAACCAAGAAAATACCTTTCACTAACTTTATTAAGAAAACAAAGAACTGCCAGGCACAGTGGCTCATGCCTGTAATCCCAGCACTTTGAGAGGCCAAAGTGGGTAGATCAATTGAGGTCAGGAGTTCAGGACCAGCTTGGACAACATAGGGAGACTCTACTAAAACACCGTCTCTACTAAAAATAAAAAATTAGCAGTGCATGGTGGCACATGAATGTGATCCCAGCTACTCAGGAGGCTGAGGCAGGAAAATTGCTTGAACCTGGGAGACGGAGGTTGCAGTGAGCCGAGATCGCGCCACTGCACTCCAGCCTGGACTGCAGGGTGAGTAACACTCCATCTCAAGAAAAAAGAAATCTTTGCAGGCTACTTTTTTCTTTGTACAAGGTTTTAAATCTTTGATATACTAACGTGGAAAAAAAGCAAGTCATTTCATTTATCTTAGTATCCTAGTTATACAGCTATTAAGTGCCAGAGCTAGGATTTGAACCCATGAAAGAATTTGAAAAAATCAAATTCTTTTCTGTACATCTCAGGCCTTAAAAGCAACTATAAAATGAAAAATTCAGCTATCTACATGTTTGGATACACGCTGTCAGATGTGTTTCTGAAATTTGAACATAACCTGTCACCTGGCGGAGAAAAAGCTCTGTTGGCATCATGAAATGAATTTGGAAAAACTATGTTAATTTAAACCTAAAAATTGTGGGATCTAACAGGTATCCCTTTCTTCTCTTCAATTCCACCCTCCCTCAAACCCACACACATACATACAGATAAACACACCCTCTGATTGTTGTTTGACATTTCTTGACAACTATTTACTTACTGCTCTGGTAATCTTAGATTTTTTGTTTGTCTTTCTTTTTAGTTTGTGCTACTTCTCAAAGATTTTTCAAATAACTTGAGCTTCTAGTTATAAATGAAATCTTTCGCCAGGCGTGGTGGCTCATGCCTGTAATCCCAGCACTTTGGGAGGCCAAGGTGGGTGGATCACAAGGTCAGGAGATCGAGACCATCCCAGCCAACATGGTGAAACCCCGTTTCTACCAAAAATACAAAAATTAGTGGGGCATGGTGACACATGGCTCTTATCCCACCCACTTGGGAGGCTGAGGCAGGAGAATCGCTTGAACCAGAGAGCTGGAGGTTGCAGTGAGCCGAGATAGCACCACTCCACTCCAGCCAGCCTGGTGACAGAGTAAGACTCCATCTCAAAATAAAATAAAATAAAATAAATAAAATCTTTTCAAAAGTTCATATGCAGTTTACTTAAGATAATAAATTGGCATGTGGCATATGCTTCTAAAGTTTCATTCAATGTGAATGTGCACACAGGCATAACTAAGTTGAAGTGACACCTCAGCAAGACATTGAAACCTGGGTTCCGGGCACTATTTGCCGTTTACAAGCTAGGTGACCTTGGACAGGGATGAGCTTTCTGAAGCCTCCTTCTTCACCTAAAATTTAAAAGGGAAAGGAATGAAGATAGACCCTCCCAAATTTTCTTCCGAATATGAAATGTTATGATCCTTTAAAATAGTAAGTCATTTATTAGGCTTTTGATCAACACCAAATTAATACTTTGTCCTTGTCCTTACTGGTCAATATTTTTAAAGACAAACAGAGACATCATAATAAAATGTGTAGACGTCTTTACAGTTTATAGTCACTTATCTCCATTTCACAGAAAAGGAAATTGAGACACAGAGAGGCTACGTGACTTGCCCATGGTGACAGAATCAGAAACTTGCAAGTCTAGATTCCTACTGGACCCAACTTTGACCCCCTTCAATACCATGATGGCCACAGGCAAAGCTGGAGATCAGAGGCCAGGTCAATCTGATACACCGACGGCTCCTGCCTGGTAGCCTATCTACCTTCCAAAAATGTTTTCCAACCCAGACGCCTTTAAATTGCTTTGGAATGGAATACCAAAATGGGGATTTATTTAGCATATCATTTCTGGATGTGTGTTTTCCTGAGCATTTATAGATCTGTGTTTTTCCAAGAAGCTGAATGTTCCTGATAAAACAAGACAGATAATGATAAATGAGCATCTATGTAAGCCTAGCTGGGAGGAGGACCAGGGACTGTTAACACCCCTCCTGTGAAGTTAATCCTATTTCTTTTAGCTATTTCTTTATTAGTTAATGAGGTCTTGCAAAAATGTGTGTCTGTGATGGTGTTTTAGCATCCTTGCCTCTAGGAACATTTTCAAATATTCATAAAGTAGCTCATCTGACCAAAGCTTAAAGCAAAGGTGCATTAAGTATGAATTTAGTCAACTTCAAATGTGGGTGGTCGAAAAGCTGCTGCTGAAATAACCTAAATAATCCTCCTTATTGATGTTTCCAGATCCGCAGCTGTGGGCGCAAATGTGAAGGGTGACAGGAAAGAGGTATTATTTAGAACAGCTAGGACTCTGAAGGGCAGCCCTGTAAGCTTTGGTCCTGCTTCCTGACTGACAGTGGTGTGGGCTCGCTATTGAAAAACTGAGTAACTTAAGAGAAACAAAAATAAAATGGAAAAGGAATTGCCAGTCGAGCCCCTAGGAAGGATAGTAGACGCTAGATCATATTGTTCCTGGGAGGCAAGAGACCTACTTCCCACTCCAGTTCCTTAGAGCAAAGGAGGGAAAGTAGAATCTCAAAAGATAGTTTGGCACTCAGTGATAGATTTGCAGCTGCAAAGCAAATATGAAAACTCAGCCACTAAACCAAACTCCATGGTACTGTGAATCATGGCAGTTACTTCTATTGCCTGGCTTTGGAGGATTCCCCACACAGTAGCAGGGTCCTGGGGACACAGCTAGAGTTCACATGCATGTGTGTGCACACACACACCCACCCAGCCCTTCCTTCTGCATCCTGAGGCATAGCAGCACACATCCTTCCTATTTTTTACCCTTTTATGATTTTATTTCCCCAGAGCATCATTTGAGTAAGTTCTCACTATGGCTCTTCTATGTGCAGTTCATACACAAAGGTTTGCTTGGTTCCAGGTGGCCTGGACTATTTTGGGCAAGAAACTGAAAATTACAGCCCAGCATATTCCTTCCTATTTCTGAGCAAATACCTCTGAGCTGCCACTAAGATGGTTCAAGTCTTCCTGACCCTACTTTAGTATGAGCTCCAGGGACAAATCATGGGCCAAAGTCCTCTGACCATCAACCCCATAGAGCACTGCAATAAATCACTGTACCCCTGGGAACTCAGTGCTGCCTACCAGGAAATATCTATCCTCGAAAGAACCCATTCATGTCATTGCCACTGAGTGTTTTATTCATTGGAGTCTTTGGCCTTTTGCAATATCAACCCCTGAATGAAGGAAGGCCCAGAGCCACACATCTGAAAGGAGACTGCCATGTAATCCCACTCAAGTACAGACTTGGAAAGAGACAGACGTCGTCCATTAATAAGGGCTAATAATGCAAACGTTTCCTTTTGCAGCTCAGTGCTCAACTTTTTGGTCATTTTATTTGGTTTTGAATTTTCCCTCAATGTGAAAAAAAGTCCTTTGAAAATAGCAAAAGCATCGTAAGAATGCTGCCTTGAGGAAGGCTTGGAGCGTAATACTGCTGCTTTTGTGTCTCTTGCCACAAGGACACTGAGGGCATGCCGACGGCCATTATGATTAGAGAAGATACAAGCTAATGTTGGTTGTTCCAGATGTAATTTTGCATTTCTCAAAAGAAATGCTGTTATATCTGGGATGTAAATTTGACTGGTGTCCTGTACTTAATGTTCTTTTACAGGTGATTCACATAACGGGCCGGCTACGCCTGAGAGTGTCGCTGTCCCACGGGAGGACCGTCCCCAGCCAAATCATGGGTCTCGTGGTTGTTGCACATGCCTTGCCTCCCCCGACGATCAATGAAGTCAGAATTGACTGCCATATGTTCGTCACTCGAGTAAATATGGACCTCAATATCATTTACTGTGAAAATAGGTACTTTGTTTTTGTTTTCATTTGCCCTGTTGCACGTTGCACATTGGTGAGGGTTGCATTTCGGCCGTCTGAAGGATGGTACTGTCCCAGTGAGACTCATTCTAAATCCTGATCTTGTTTTGTAATGGCCGCTTGCACTGACACCAAACATGTTTTTTTATTTAAAATTTGCATTGCTGCCCTGATTTACGTTAGGGACAACAATTAAATGAATCGGGATACCCAGGCATCCCATTTTGGCTGAGAACCCAAGGAAAGAGCAGGGCTTAGATGCCATTGGAAAAATGATGCAGTAAAATGTACTGCCTGTTGCCTCCGTGGGACCCCTCCTGACTACCTCGAGGGCCCAGCCTCATGGTGGTCCATGTTCACATAGACACTAAGCATGGAAAGAACAAATGAGACTCTGAGGCCCCCAGAGGAAAAAGGATGAAAAAGAAATTTGCAAAGCCATTAAATAAAACTTTGTCATCCTGAGGATTTCACTTTTATAAATTAAGAAAAAGATGACTCATCATATAAATGAGTTGGCAGTTCTTCCTCAAGACTAAGCTTTTATAAAAGGACTTCTTAACCTCTGGTTTAAAAGTTCACTTTTTCCATTAAGCATGAAGCAAGGGACAAGGAAATGGGACAGTGCCCCTTCAGACCTTTCACCTAGAAGTCAGCAGCCCATCAGCAGACTGATTTGAACAGGAAGCCACGGGGTACAGGGAGGGCAGTGGAGAGGAACCACCCACGTACCAAGTGTGGGAAGGAAGCTTTGGCAATACTATCCATCCCTGGGTGCCACAGGGAGAATTACTGAGTCAATTTGGGAAGGATGCTTTTGCAGCACTGTTGTCAGGCTTGTTCACTGAGCCCTCAGAGGAGAAACTTAAGAGCAGAATGGTCAAGTGACTTGGGGAACTGACCTCGCCGGAGACTAGCCAAGAAGATAGCCCCTGCATTTAGTCCACTGGGGAACTCTGAAGATGTTGAGATCAAATTGGAAACTGCCTATTATTTCTGACCAGGATCCGATTCAAAGGAAAGAATTCACCCTGGGAAAAGATACCCACCTGAGCTATAAGTGTTCAATAGGGTAGATCTCATGAACCTGTTGCTGTTATTTGATAAGAAACTCTGAATCTGCATTTCAAGTTTTGTTGGCATTTATTAAACAGTTTATCATCATGACATCGTGGGTATGTCTAAGGTATTCTGGAAGGGCCACAGAACATCAGGAAAGACACGTTAGCCAGAATGCTTCGCTGGAGTTGGCAGGTCTTAATAAAGATGGCTGGCATTTACTGATCACTTACTACACACGGGCATGTGCAAAGCTCATCACCTACACATTTCACTTAAGCTTTAGGGCAGTTCTGTGAGGCAGTTGCTGCTGCCATCTCCATGACCTTTGGGCAATTTCAGCTGAGAGAGAAACACTGACTGACTTGTCCTCAGTCAAGAGATTCAAAAGCCCATGTACTTGCTGCCTCCTGTGGAGTCTCCCTGGAGTCTCTTTTCCTTTTCTTCAGAAATCAGACTAAATGGCAAGCGACTGGACACAAAACCTCTGAGGGGGACTTTTCATACATCTGTACCCATGAAAGAACCTGGTTACAGCCCAGTCCACAAAGCTATTTCTCCTCTGATTAAAAATGAAGAATGCTAGAGAAGGAGATCCACCCAGGGAAGACGGGAAGACAGACATCAACTCAGAGCATGGACTATGGCTTTGCCTCTTTGAAAACACAAGACAGCTCTCTTGATTTAGACTACCAGCCACCTCTTCCTCCAAAGAACAGAGCCTCATCTTATTTACCAAACTTCCAATGATTGTCCTATCGTAAAACATCACTTAATTTCCATTCCTGTGATCAACTCATTAATTCTTTTGACAAGCTCCATGTACCCGAATGCCTCATGGTGCTACTCTAGTAATTGAGATCATTTTCTGTGACCTGCTTTTGGCATTTTTCTTCCTCAAAAAAAAAAAAAAAAAGAAAGGAAGAAAGAAGCTTTTCACAGTCCCCTGTTAGCCAATACAATACAGCATTTTTCCCATCTGCAGAAGATAGTAATTATGAAAAATACCTGTATGGAAGGTAATTGCATATTTGCTCTGAGGAAAAAACATATTGTGTGCCAGGCACTATGCTATGTTAATTTCATTCCATTCATTCATCCCCTCACCAACCTCTTGGATTGTTATACAGATGAAGAAACTGAGGCTCAGAGTAAAAGATGCCATCAGGATTCTGATCCTGATACAGACCATCCAGCTGGTCTGGTGCTTTTGAGATATATGTGAAGAGACCCTCAAACACCAGGCTAGTCACATTCACCACAGTAACAGGCTCTGGTACAGAGAAGGGCTTGGATCGGTTTGAAGGATTTAATTCAAGAAAAGAATAAACTAAAGAAATGCCTTCCCTAAAGAATGGAGTGCCTTTTTCCTGGGGTTTATTATTTAATTAGGGAATTGTTAACTAGAAACTAAGCCTTGCTCCTTGACTCCACAGCCCATTCTTCTCTGCATTCCCAAGGACAGCCTCGGGCAAAGCCGACATCAGCTTTCAGAGGAGCTGGCAAATTTCAGAAACACCAATGAGGGAGGGTCTTTTAATGACATCCTTGTTCCTTCATTTGCAGAAATGGGGTGTCAACTGTGCTTGGAAAATAGCTAATGGTTTTAGGAAAACACCAACTAATCTGTTTCATACCAGAAACCCATGAAATCCTTAGAAAACCCTACTTTTTATTTTCCCAATCAATCTTATCTTACCAAAAACCCTAGTTTGGCCAAAAATATTATTTAAATTGCTAGACACTGAGAAATTCACTTGCTGGGTAATATATTTTAATTATGTTTCTTTTTTTGTTTGTTTTTCTTTCTTATTTCCCTGCCTTCGGGGCCAGAAAACTCTCCAACAATGATCACGTGTTTCTTAAATGTGTCATTTCTAAAGATTTATTTCATATTTGAATAGACCATATGCCGTAAGTCATTAAAAAAAAAACACATGAAGAGTAAAGAGAATAAATTAAACAAAAAATATATTCCACTTTGGACTGACCAAAAGGAATCTGCACTTGGTAATACAGAGGGTAACACGCGTTTTGACATGTTTGCGTAAACCAGGCAGATTCCCCGAACATGTTTTCCAATTTGGGTTCTATTTTTCCGTGCTCTGCCTGAGGACATCGACGTCTGGACAATCAGTGACAGAGGCTTATACACACATACTGTCGAGCATAAGCCTGGAAGAGCTGCTGAAATGGTTTAAAAGTTTTTGTGTGGAATCCACCACAAAGTACCAGTTAAAAGGGCCAGGAGTGAAAGCTGAGCTCCCAAATGACTAAGACTAAAAAAGATAATACCCCCAGGCATCTGTGTGTCTCCGCATTTAAATTATATCCCTTGAAATGCCAATTTGGACTTTGTGCCAAGAAGCTGCTGAAGCCCTTTTTCATGGAAATACCCAATAGAAGACCAATCTGTTTAAATGAAAGGTGTCTCTAATCATTTGGTATAAACATAACATGTTTTTATTTTATTATGTAACCTTGAATTATCTTGGCCTGTAATAAGGATATTGCATTGTTACTGATTCTCAATAATTTCATGGAATTATGTTGTCTAAATGTGCATTTTTAATGCCAAAGGAAGAGAAAAACCTATCTAATTATTTAAACACAATTGCTCAATCTAACACATTTCCTACTTTTGAAAAAGACTGTTATGTGTTAAAGAAATAATCTTATCTATAAAGGGTTTTCCTTCACAGTGCCACCTCCTCACGGGTACAGTAGTATAATGAAATGTGTCAGTAGATCTGTTTCTAAGTTATTTGACAGTTTCTTTATATTTCCTCCCTTCTGAATTCCAGCCTGTGTTCTTCTCTTTGTAGGATTAGTGATTATATGGATCTGACCCCTGTAGATATCGTAGGGAAGAGATGCTACCACTTCATCCATGCTGAAGACGTGGAGGGCATCAGGCACAGTCATTTGGACTGTAAGTACCTCCTGTGTGGGGGAATAACCCGGGCTAAAGTGAGCTCTCTCTGAGGCTCGTTTGGTGTCAGTGCTGACTTTTCCCTTCATCTTTCCTGCGTACATTTCAGATGACTGTCAGTGTGCAGTGAGAAAAAGTGAGACATAAATCATTTCAACTTGTGTTAGAATTAGATTGAAAGTTGGACCTCAGGCCCAGAGAAATTGCTGGATCTTTAGGCACTCACCCAGAATTCTGTGGTGTCTCTCCTATGAAGTGGCGGGGGAACCTCTGTCTTCAGTGCTTCCTTGACCCTTTCATTTTCTGGAGAGCAACTTCCACCCTGAAATTTGTGGTCTCAGTTTCAAAATACACATAGGAGAAGACAAGTTCAAATAAGCCAGAGCCTTATAAAAATGCCTACTTCCCAAGCATCAAAACTTAGGGGCAAGCCAGGGAGATGGGGCAGAGCACATTGTGTGGAGACAGCAGCTCTCGAAATCAGTGTTTTCACTGTTTCTGGAAAAAGACTTATTCAGAGGAGTAGGTATCTCCAACCCTCAACTCCTGGGAGATGGTAATTAATCTCAGCTCTTTGAATATGGCTCCCAGCCCCCAAGCCACAGGCTCCAAAAGACCTTCTGTGCATGTGAGCAAAGCGGGAGCATCAGTGATGTGGCTGGGCCAGCAACACACCAGCAGCATTGTGCGGAGCCCGCTTCCCACCACCATGGCTGTGCACGCTGTCCATGGAAGGGGTCTGACTACAGCACTGATCTGGTGGCTCTCTTCTGACCAGAGATCCTTTTTATGAGCATTCAGTAGACTCTTCCTGAAAGATGAGTTCCTCCCCCTATACCCAGCTATGTCCCTAGAAGGTTCTAACCCGTTTGGACCTCTGAGTTAAAATACAGCCACATGCCACTTAGCCATATTTTGGTCAACTACCTACCATATATATGATGGTGGTCCCATGAGATTATGACACTGTGTTTTTACTGTACCTTTTCTATGTTTAGATACACAGATACTTACCACTGTGTTACAGCTGCCTACAGTATTCAGCATGGTAACATGCTGCACAGGTTTTGGTCTAGGAGCAATAGCCTATACCTTACAGCCCAAGTGTGCAGTACGCTACACCATCTAGGTTTGTGTAACTGTGCACTCTGTGATATCCATGCAATGATGCACAATGATGCCTAGCCATGGATTTCTTACAACAGATCCCCATCATTAAACAACACATGGGTGTATATGCAAGGCACCACAAATGAGATGTCACAGCCTAAAGTTGAAGTGTTTATGCAGAAAAATATTTGCCTCCTCTCCCCTTTCTTATCATGGCCAAAGAGAGTTATTTCATATCTTTCCTGCCCGTTGCAATTATTTCTTCATTGCATACTCAAAAACATGGAGATGTCGAGCTAGCCAGAGTCTCAAAGTATGAATATCCTGTACTGTGTTTTTAACCCTGTGTTGGCAACACTGACATGGAGCCAGGTTCAGATTCAGAATCTGTATATACCACGTATCTGGAAAGAGCCTGCCTCCAACACAGCAGGTTCTACTCCAACACAGAGCGTGTGTCTTGATATTGCACACAAGGGATTTAGGGAACACACTTGTTGCTGAGCATGAATGGGTGTCGTGTATCATAGAAGCAGATGGCTCTTCAATTAATTGGGGAAAAAATGACACGGTTTCCTGAAAAGAAACATCAGGTTCTTCATTGCTCAGAGTTAAGAGAAAATGGAGAAAAATCAGGATCTTTGGAAGAAGCCATGGATATATTTTTGGAATAATATAGGCTAGAGATCTAGACTTCACAAATGAATGTATTGTTTTTAGGACACTGTCATAGACCATGTGTGTGGAGAGTGCGATGCCTTCTCATTTTGGAATCTTAATTAAGGTCTAAATTCAGAAAGCTGATGCTGACCAAAAAAAAAGAACTTTGTCTCCCTCAGTTATTATTTGGAAAACATCATGCTGTCTCTCTGGGATTTGATTTACAGCTTGAAGAAACACAATTCCTCAGGAACAGTGAGCAAGGGCAGTTCATTTCTCCCCATTAAGCAAAGGTCTCCAACAAATATGTTTGATGCCTTTCTTTCCGATTTACTTTTATCTCATTTTCCGTAGCCAGAATAATTTGAGAGTGCTGAAAATAAACCACTCCACCATTCACTATTGTGCTATTCTCCTAATTTTTCTGGTATCTTGCCAACTAATAAACAGAGAAGGTATGCTTTCAAATTCTGTGATTTTTTTCATTACTTGATATTGACATACTGGCTATTGCTTTATGATTCAGCCTACTAACAATGATTGGGTTCATTCTTTTAACTCATATACATGACTTCTAATTTTGAGTTCTTTTAATAACCTTAAACACATGAAAAACAAATAGAATGAGCTGATAATTCTGCATAGTAAAATACACTTCACATATTTAGCTATCATGCTGTGGAATAACTCCACAATGTCAAGTAGCACACAATTAGTAAAACTGTAGGGGGAGGAAAAAGAGCGTTTTGATCCTGAAGAAGTTTGATCCTAATCAGATTGAAATTTCAGCGTTCTTGTAGTGCTTAATATCTTCAATCACACACACAAAAAATCAACCTGATTCCAATGTCAGGTTTTGCATTCTGTGACTGAAATAAAATGCTAAAATATACAAATGCATCTCGCTTTGTACAATAAACATTAACATCATTATAAAGTAAGATTGAGTCTAAAATTGTGTGATGGAATGTCTGATGTTTACCTAATTCTCAAACCAAAGCCAGCCCAGTAACAAAATGACAGAGCATGTAATAAGTCCTGGTTGTGTAAACACTGGAAGAAAAGGCAAAACGCCAGCACAGCATCTTGCTTGTCCAAAGCCCTAGGCTATTACCGAAGGAGGCCTCCAATGTGCCTTCTTGGCAGGAGAAGGTCATGGCGACATAGAATCAGGTCAAGAATAAGATAGAATTCTAAAACAAAGGGATGGTTAAAAAATAAACCACATTAACTATTTAGTTTTTCTTCCTAGAGCTGTTGGCACAATTCCTGGTTCTGTCCTGAAAGACAGGTTATAGTCCTCTGATAATATTTCTGCTTTTTAACTATCTGTCTTATGCTCCAGTTTATCAATAAAACTTTTTTTTAAAAGACTTACTAGTCTTTGATAACTAAAAATACTATCTTCATCACTTATGTCTTTTTTCCTTGCCTAGGCATCTATAAATCCATAAATGAACTTGTCTCTAAAATAAGAAAAGAGGAATATCAGTTGTACCAGGATTACAATTCTGATAAATTGAACCAAGAACTTAGACCATCTGCTCTTCCACTAAGTTAACATGAGATGACTGATAGTTCATGGATTTCAACATAAAAAATCAGTAAGAATCACATTATTGATACCAATATCGTAGGTTAGTAGAACTATACTCTAAAACCAAGGGAGTTTTAGGGGCCCCTTCTTTCACACTGTGACCAAAGAGCTCTGTGATTTCTTTTGTTTAAAACCAATTTCACCAATTCTTTAGGTCAAATCAACATTTAAAGGTTAGAATTTTAAACCATTTATATTAGCAATTTTGGGGGCATCTTCACCTTTTCTTCCCTACAGTTTTCCATTGCTTAGGAGGTACTGACTTGAGAGGTGATCACTAACACCTTCCCACAGTTACACACTCTGGTCACCTATGGTGTCTGTGTGGCTCTTCAATTATGAGAGGTTTCAGTGCAACCACCTACCACTCTACTTCTGCCTATAGCCCCCCAAAAATAGAATGCTAAACCAAACAGAGATGCATGCTTTGCACTGCTCTTTATTTCCATTTAATTCAGCCCTTTGTCTAGAGAAGGAGCTGAATCTGTCTTGAGATATTCCTAGGGTTCTTTGTGGGTCAAATCAGCAACAACTTTCTAAAACCTTAAAGAGTGGCCTAGGGGAAAACTTCCTTTCTCTTTATGAGGTTCTGCTCCACCAGTGAGGCTTAAGGCTCTGGAGCTGTGGGATTTCAGAGAAAACGAGCCAGAGACTGTAGGTGTGGTGGCAGTTTTTTTCCTTCCTAACACCTTACCCAGTCTGAGAAAACTCTGGAAGAGTTTTTCAGAAAGACAGAAGGACTTCAGATTGTCTTTGAGATCATATGCAGTTAAAAAGTATGGCCTATCCAATATACTTGGGGGCTGTATATATATAAAAAAAAAAAAAACTAGTAGCTTAAGTGTTTATTTCTTAATTATAAACTTCTGTACTTTCTAACAAAACTAATATACAGCTACCTGATATAATGCATTCCATGCTGTTTTGCATCAATAACCCCTACACTTCCCTCCTGAAGGCGTCTCATCGCCAAATGCAAGCAGACTGCTTAATGCAGGACTAATTAGTATATCCCCTTCCAGTCTGCAGGCCCTCTATTGTAATTCCTTCCCAGCTCATTTTTTTCCACAACCGAGCATCAATCAAAGTAAGTGCCCTGCTTGCCTAGGCAACACAAGATGTCCTCCATGCATTTGTCATCTGCCACACAAACAAAGGGGGAATTTAATTGTTGGTTTGGGTATGCAGCCACTGCACACAAAACGGAAGCTGCAAGTGAAGGAAAGAGAAGGTGGCAAGGTTGATGGGTGGGCCAAATGCAGATAGCACAGGGGACTTTTTTCTGTTCTCTGATCTCAGCCTTTCTTCAGGGGTGGGTCTTCAGGGATTTATCTGCAACCTGGACATTGGCTGGACTTTCCCCAAAGCAAATAACCTGGACTTTCCCCTTCTGCCATATGAATATGAAAATTCCCATGAAAGGAAATGCATGTAATAGCTACCACGTCTGACTTTCTTCAGAAGCCAAGTCAGCCTTCATCGTGTGCCTGGCCATTAACTGAAAAACAACTGTCACAAGGAGACAAGATAAAGGCAGGTTTTTATGCAGGAGTGAATTTGTATTATTTTGTCTTACTTTTTTTGGTGGGGGAGGTGGTGATGGTAGGTACCGACAGAGAGACGGTGCTCGTTT